AACTTGGTGCCGGCATGCTTCATCAAGCTGACAAAATGGTGATAAGTCTCCTTCCCGCTGTCGAATGATGATAATTACTCGCCACTGCTACCGCACCAAAGCTTTACAATCAAACCTTTCTCGGTCTCATTTGACCCGGCTCATTTATGAAGTGATCACTCGTGAGTTAGCTACAGATGGAAAAGGAATATCAGTGTGCCTTCTGGCCAACTGTCTGAACAATGTGCCATGCGCATATGCTACTTGACCAGGGTACTGGTTTGGCCTCTGAAGCTCTTCCGTTTTAAATTGCTTGCCACCTCTGGGACCTTTAAAACTAGCCACAACTACTGTTTCTGAAATATTTCTCTGACCAATGGACCGTTCTTCTGAGGAAAATGGACAAACTTTACTCAGATCATTTGTTCTAGTCCTCTTGTATAAGCCTTTTTTCTCTGGGCTATTCAGCCTTCTTGTCATTAACCTTGACATATCTGACAAAGGTTAACATCTACGATCGTAAAATGCCAACTAAAATCTGCCGAACAGCAGGCGGGATACCGGTCGGGGTCTGTATGACGGACGTCTTCACACTCAACTAAGTATTTCAGCAACCACATGCGTATAGACGCCCTATAATACTGTTGTTCCTTGATCTCAAGAGCGCTGGATTCTGTCGAACGGTTTGTGCTTTTCAACGGGCTTGTGCAACAGGATATGTCCCAGAAGTTTGGGAATATCATGGACTGTTTGTACTCACGTGCTTGTGGGCATGTGATAGCTCTCCTGAAACTTTGGTACAAACAGTGATGCCAGACAAGGATACCCACTCATCCCATTTCCGTTTAGTTCTTCATTGATGCGATAATGAGGCGAACACCGGAAGGCCTTCAAATAACCGTCCAGACCTCTCCGAGTGAGAACTTTGTTGACCTAGAATATACAGACGACATTGTTCTCATTTTTGAAAGGGAGCAAGAAGTGCATCACCTGACCAAGGTCACTCAGCCTTCGGTATGCGTTGCACGCCCAAAGAGTGAAAATTCATACTGGTCGACGTGCAACCTCTAAACATGCGTCTAAGTGCTTAAGGAGTGATCCAGGAGGTTGTGGGACATTGTAGATATCTCAGAAGCTGTATTAGCTTCGATGGTAGTGTGGCGGACGAATTCGACGTACGAACCTTAAAACCAAAATTGCTTTCGCCACTTGTGCCATTCAGGAGCATATCGATGGGTCTCAAGGGATCCACATATCACACTATGCCGTAGGAGGCTGTATCGTACTTCTGTGGAACTTGACCACTTCGGGTGTAGTATGTGAGACATCCTCAGGTCTTTGACCACTGATATTTCACAATTATAGTTGGAGTCAGCTAGGACCGACGAATTCATAATGAAGTGATCATGAGACAGGTTTTCTGTGGAACAGACGGCACCCCCAGCAGTGCGAGATAAGATGCCTGGGTAAGGTGTTACGCATGATGAGTTATTGTCCGTCAAGACAAGCGCTGTCGTCCGTGCCCGCTTCGGAGTGGCGTAAATTAAGAGGTGGACAGAATCTGACATGGGCACTGTTGCACTGTTCGGTTTCCAGGATGGGGCCCAGGTGATCCTCCCTGTGCTTGGGTGGAGACATTGAACGACGTGGAGGCTAATCGATGTCAATGGTGTTCATTCTATCAGTTTCTAACAAGACTGCCTGACTGAGTGTTGGATGTCTGTTGTAGACCAGCCCTAAGTCTCTTCCCAATCCCATTTTCCTTTATCCATTATAAGGCTCTGTTCAACTAAACTGGCATGGCTGTAGGGCAATGAAGCACCAGTGTTCTCATCTAGTTTTGCTTTTAGTGATGATAAAGAACTAGTCTATCTGCACTCAAATAGAATAGAATCGCGAATTTCCCCTTCCCATGTGTTTCCTATTCTGAAGAATAGCCGTATCGACTCTGGAACACCTCAACTCGAAAAATACGGTTTTCTTCCCTTTCATTTTACACGAGTGCGCCAGACAGATAGCTTAATCTCGAGGTGGAACCAAGTGAATCCATTCATCAAGTGCGACAATTTTCTAGCCCACAGATGTCGGATGTGAACGTTGAGGCGAGTAATATGAACAGTTAGGTCACGTTACAAGAATGCGGAAGATTTCTTCCACGGCTGTCTAGAGATCTAAGATCAGGAGGCTCTACAAGTATAACTACAAGTATAACTGAAAAATACAGCTACCCCGTAGGAAGAGACCATTGTGAAGGAAGACAGCCTTTAAGACCATAACAGCGTTGAGCATTGGATACGACATATTGTGAGATCCCTATGAAGAAAGGCTCAATGTACCCACCACGATGGTGGTCGCGCTTGAGAGCATTGTCACATAATCCCGGACAGCTCGAGTCAGACAATGAATTTTCAGTTGGTGGTTCGCCCTTGTGCCTCAGTCATGACTAGAAGTCGAACTAAGGGTTATACGACTGGTAACTGAAAGCTTGCGAAACACCGGCAAACACACAAACTAACCTGTCTATACTAATATCCCATGTACTCTTGTCACACCGGCACTATTCTCTAGAATGGACGGTAGCGTCATGCGTCGAAAAAAGAACACTTCAACGTCTTTATTCAGTGTGTAGGATTCGAAGAGCCTAACCGAAAAACAATGTGATGTTCAGCCAACATGAAAACCGAGAAAGGCAGGACAGCTGCTGTACCGTCCCGTTTCTCAAGCCTAAACAGCATTAGTTGACTATCAGTGTCGGTAACGTTAGTAGGGTACTCGACACCTTGGGTCGCTAGACTGGACTGGGAAAGACCTTCTTGACCTGATTGCCGTTCCAAATTACTAAAAGTATCATGGGCTACGAAATAATTTCAAAAGCAGTCAGTATAATCATAAACAGCAGAAATTACCAAAAAGGCCTCAGACCATTCAGTTCCAGGACCGTACGAGCAAACAGAAACTTTCAAGCAACTGATTAGACAACCTTGAGGTCGGTTCCCCAAAATCCACTAATCTGATTTCACTCTCCATCTCACAGCAAATTTGACTACATCCACGACATGTTTCCAAAGCACTTCCGCTCAATACTGGAACCTCCATGTCGCTGGCAGCAAGTCACACCTGGACTCGCATTATTAAATTATTGTCCACAACCTTGACGGACAGTGGAATTTTAGTAAGTGTATGTTACAATCATATGAAAGTATACATCATTATGTGAGCTGTATTCATATTATCTATATCGGTTAACGCAGGTGCTTATTTGGGCAAAGTAACTTCGTCTTTAAATAAAGATAGTTGCAGGTCTGGTAACAAGCAATTCACTTTCAGTGAACAACGGTACGAACAAACAAATGATGCGCCGATGGGATCATTGCCAACCTATTTTGAAAACATATTTAGCCGTTTTTAAAGTATTTTTAATCCATCCAAGTTATGATTTCGACATGTCTGTTCTTCAAAAAGCAACAAAGCACCCCTCGTGACCTCTTAACACTGCGGGCAACGATTTCGCTCTTAGAATGGAGAATGCGATACAGCGCAGGAACATTGAGTTTCTTGGTTGAAGACTACCCTTGTATGCTTCGAACACGTGGGACAGCTATCTATTAAAAGCTTACACATTCCAACCATCATATGTGAACTTAGAATCAGCACACGGTGTGTAGTTAATGCTCCATTTTGGCCCATTTAACATCCAGTCAGGTATTTTGTGCACCGATTTGCATGCATGCTACAAGTTCACACGTTTAGCTCACATTCAGTAGGACGACCCGGTTTTTGAAACAATAGAGAGCCAAAACCAGGCCAGCTAGGTACACACGATCAGTGGTGACGTTGATTCTGTAGCAAGGTTACAATACAGTCCCGGTGCATAAGACACTATCAAAGAATCACAACCCGCGTGCAGTCTCCCAGCTTGTACGGATCAAGGAGTAACACACTGCTTCTGGAGGACTTAGTGTTCAGGTAACTGAGGATACGAATAAAAGCATTTGAAAGGCAATCACAAATTATCTCTCAGAGTGCAACACGAATGAACAAGGACTCAACCTGTACCCTCCATAAGTTCGCTTTAAGATACCGTAAGCTTCCAAAATAGCACCGTGCGTCCTTCAGGTCCAGATTTCTTGTACGTGCGGAAGCCTTAACCGTAAGTTAATACAGTATCAGTGTATCGACTGCAATGACGAACAGCCCATCTTGACAGCGCTAGTCACTGTCCAACGTATGCGAAGCGCAGAACACAGCTCGGATCGTTTCCAATCTCCTAACTCTGATTCAACAACAGTAGAAAGATATCGCACACGACGATTGCTTACGTCCCTTGACAAACGTCACTCTCGGTCACCAAATCTTCGGTTTGAAAAAATGTTCGCTTTGCAGTACTCTATCTGGCACATTGCGGCCCTGAAGCCCCATTACTTGGTAAAGTTAGAGAGAGGTCTAACCAACGCAGCAGGGTCACAGTCGACCAGAATAATCGCCACCGAAATTTGTTTGGTCGACCCTCCAAATTAGGATTTCTGAAATTTGAATGTTCTGCAGATTGAGCAGGAAACGGTCGTCTAAGAGATTATCCTTGACTTCAATGCAGGTTCCCAGGATACGATCGCGAGTACCAGAAAAGAAGACTAAGAACTGTTTTGTGCAGTATACAATTAGGTAGAGTAAGAAAAGTTCAACGTCATTTTCGAAGTGAAAGCCAGGCGCTCGGCCAAAAGAACAAACAATAAGGCAGAAAAATAGCCAATAATGGAAGTGAGGCATGGAATGCCTCGGGATACCGCCCCAGGAACTAACCAATAGTGGTTACCGCTCAAGGGGTTGGTCGGTTGTTGAGAAGAAGCGAGTGCGTGGGACAGAGACAAAGAGAGCATAGGAGGGAACAGTGAGTAGCACATACGACAAATGCAGTGGCTGAGGCAAAACACGGACGTCTGACCCGGTCGAATTGGCAGCGCAGGATGAGGAAGGGTTTAATGTGTTATGTTCGATGCGTTGTGTTGGTGCCGATCAGAGGGCTAGTCGGCAGAGCCAAGTTCGGCGAATATCCCGTCCAATTCCTTCTTCAGGGATTCATTGGCTGATTGCTGTTTTTGGAGATCGGCTACAAGAGGAAGAGACGCTTGCAGCCAAATCGGATGTACTTACCTTTGTTTTTCGATATTAACCTATCCAGACGAGTAATCTCTCTTTCCGATGTCTCATACGCGTCGGTTGCCTAAAATAGAATCAGAATCAGAATCATGTCATGGAACGAATGATCGCGCTATAGGTGAATTATCAAAGCAGCAAAGCATCATAGAAAAATATGAAATACGCAAAGCAATGAAAGTCAGCTGGTTAGAATCGGAAATACCCCGTATAGCGCCACTGGTCGGGAAATAATAGCCGATACGTGAACATCTCTGAAAATCAACATTGCAGATGACACATTCGACCAGGACATCCGAAATCCAATGGCTCACAGTTCACTAACGAAGTCAGCCAGGACTCTTGCATACTCAAGCTAATTTCATCCATTGCTCACAGAATTAATGAGCACGGATTTCTTAGTTAACCAAGCAGTTAGGTGTATTGTTTGCGGAGAGTTAGTTTCGTGCTTTGTAATGACACGGAGAAAAATAGTTAGGTAGCACAATGGGAAAACTCATGATAACTTGAATTTGGACGACCGGAGAGATCTGGTTTGGTATGTCACAAACACCAGAATTTCACGGCATCCAAGGTATGCTTGCCAAGAGGAATAGGATACTGCTAGATATCGATTGACGTCCTCTTACGAACGTGCAACGTACCTTCAGTTGTACGTCGAAGGCTCAGCAGCCTACTCGCCCTGTTTGGAAGCGAACGCATTGGAGATACTCACGGAAGAGTATGCGACTTAACATGGTACTAGAGGTTACTTAAGTCTTTTAACCATAGTGACTGTGGGTACCCTAAAAAGTGCTTCTTGCGAAAGCAATCTATCAGATTGGAGATTTGTGTCACGGGGTTCGAAAAAGAGGCTGATATGGCGTGAAGTGAAGCGCACATAGTGCTCTCAGGCGAACGTAAAGCGTAGCTGGTCGATCAATGTTTGCTTTCAGTCAACTATGCACATCACGCTGTGTGCATAGCAAAGCCGCCAGTATGCGTTGACAAACACACGCACGCTTCGCTGGTTAATGCAGAGCTGTGGGCGAGGGGCTACGATCGTTAGAAAAAACGTCGCCTTCGTCCGTCGTCATGCAAAATTCGGTCTCGCGAACAACTATCAGGCTGTCTTTTGAGCAGAAACACTGACGAGTGACGCGGTGAATACGTGGAGTGATAAGGAAAGTATTCCGATGGGTGGGCATATTATATACATATATATGTCAGTTGATTTGTTAACTTCACAAACAATACGTTGTCAATTCAAATGAGTGCGGCAATAAAATGTGCAAAGGTACTACGGTGGTTCCAGCTGTTACAGTCTCGTTAACCGATAATGCTGGAAACAAGAGAAATAGCTATGTACTGTCAGACTTGGTCGGATTTTAATCACGTTGACTGATATCATTGACAAGAGTTCGGGAACTTACTTACCACTAGCGAGGAATACCTACACGACTATCGTTAATCAGCCTGCTTTCTAGTCCGTTGATGTCACGTGACCTGCCAAGTGTTACGGTGCCCATACAGTTCCGAAATCAATTGTTAATTCTTTCGAAAAAGCAGACCACAATCGCGAATCATAAAGGCACACACAACTGTACAAAGTGTGGTTACTGAATAGAACCCTAGAAAACGTGACCCCATGGGAGTACAGCGGCGGAATTGGTGGATGACATTGGTCCCACTATTTGTTTATTTAGTCAAAACTGTGTAGCTAAGGCCAAACGGCTGGGCCGGTATGACACCTTCGCTCACCGTCTCCAATTGACGCTGCAGGTCCCGAAGTCGTGTTTCCAGATCGTCAATCGCTTCTTCCTGCAGTAATGAGGTAAAAGATTGGTTGGGAACATAAAAGGAAAGATAATCGCTTTAGTTAGGGTGTTTTCCGGAACAGCGCTTTTACGATAACACTGCGTAATGCAAAAGATTGAGTAACAATTATTAGTCAACATTTTATTGACATCCCTGAACTCCGGCTAAAACTTTTCAGGCCAAAAAGGGCATGTCAGCCACAAGAGGACCATACTGCAGTGAAGCTACATGCATGTTCAGCGGAGAGAAGAAGAGGTAATCAAACCAAAATATGGGCTCACTTGTATTGACACCCAAAAGCATTTAATCCTGTTAACCTGAATTTCTAAACGGTCGGTTGCTTGCAATAGCAGCTCAGTACACCTGTCACACAAAGCTGTTTCAAACCCAAACGATATTTAGGACGCCATTAAACTCTTTCGGAAATCAATGTGACATCGTAAGCTCTCAATAACCCTTATGACACATGACACTTTGTTCCAAACGTCATCGTAGGCAGCTGAAGCCTACGAACGAAATAAAGCCAGCTCAGATTCATTCCTGTTACCGGCTCACCGTTTGCTGAAGCTATCAACTTAGACCACTGACGCTCACATCATTCTTGTTTGAACAGTCCTCTTCCCGTCGTGTCGTACTTACCCTGGGGAGTCCACAACAAAAGGACAAAGCATTGGACTTGAGTTTGGCTATACTGGGTTCTAATGAGAGCGAAACTCGGGTCAAGTCCTTCCCACAAAGTGTAAGATCATCGTCTTGGACACAGTCTACAATCCAAAGGAGACGTAATCTGGGTCCTGGAAGGCCTCAATTGGCTTTAAGATTGTACGGGCGCCGAATATAACGTGACAGATGGGGCCAATGAACGAATCACCAAAACTCAGGTGTTTGTCGCGTTAGTGACGTTTTTGGCACCAGTTTCTATCCAGATTGTCTAAACAAGTATCCGGAGGGGTAATTACCTGGCGGTGATTGTAGTAGACAAGAACCAGGCCCCTCTTCTACATGCTGCACCCTATTCTTTACTACAAGGCTTTCAAATAAAGCATGTTTGTACAGCAGTGAAGCCCTGGTTTTAAACAAGTGTGTTGTCAACGGTGATATCTATAGAAGTTTGGATAACAATCATGGGACATTTAAGTAAGCAAGAGTTATTGAAGAAACTATGTGGTCAAGAGCATTATATAAAAACAACGGTGCTTCCTTTTGTATTCAGAAACTGGTTAGAAAAACCCTCGACTTCCCATGCCCATCTAACGACTGACCAAATAGCCATATTTGGAATAGGATGATGGTAAACACATCACAATACCCGGTACTGATATACAGCAGTTCCCTCAAAACTACACTCTTCTGGGACATAAAGAGAACCACTCGTCTTCATACCTGTCAAAATAAATTTTCCAAATGAAGGTCTGTTGCGTAAACCATAACTGGGTTAATCACGTTTCAACCGACCGGGTCTCTCCAACTTACAATATTAGCCAAAACAATGCACATACTGCTCTTGCTGTGCTGCCCAAAAAGGTTAGCTGGACATGACCACCACAGTTTCACACAGATGGGTGATCCGTAAATTTCTGTACTTGTCTTTAAACATCGTGTAGACTTCGACATTAGCAGATGGAGTATTTTTATCAACCCAAGGGACGTAAGAGAGCACCGTGCACGGGGGGGGGGGCAACCGGTCAGCCCAATCGATTTTGCGGCCTAATGTGCTAACACTTACAACACAGGGTACAATACACATTGACCTTTTTATAACGCCAGCGGAGTGGTTTGTGTGAAGCAGAGATGGCTGGGTAGCATCCGATAAGGATTAACCCGTCAGTTGCACGTTTGGGCACAGTTGTTATGCTACAACCTGCTGGAGTTATGTACAGCCTTTCAGTGCGGACCTGAGGAAAGAAAAAAGTAACCAAACACATCCAACTTGTTTTTACCAGTCAGCGGCCTAAATATGATGGAATAATGTGCCAGTGTCGAACAGGTGTGTAACACTTGAGAGGCATCAGTTCTGAACTTCACCATAACATCACACTTCTTTCATTGTAGTGCCATATCTCTTAGTGCACTGCTAAGGTGGTAAGTAACCTGGTACGACTGCAGTACCCAGTTGGTCACCGATAATATCATCCGGAGCCTGGTGCATATTCATCCTACGGTTCACTGCCTACACCTTCCAACCGACGGTACGTGGCCTCTATCATTACATTACACTTCCTATCATCCTAGCCGATATCCGCAGCCGATATCTGCTGATCGTGTTGCTCATCCATATTTATCCAGCTATTTCTACCAGGTTTTCCCACCCGTAGAGACAAAGTGCTTTCCTCTTTCCCAAACACCCCATCATTTTGTTTTCCTTAATTCATACAACATCCAACTGCTCAAAAGCATACTTAACGATCACCTCCATCCATCTTGAGATTACCTTACCTTTAAGTTCTTATCGAGTTTTCTTATCCGGAAGTTGAACTCCTTTATCTCTGTAATTCAGCCGTGTGTGGTAAGTAAATAAGGAACAGGCTTCGGAGTTGGTACTTAGTTTCCAACATGTGGCGTGGTTACACTTTGTAGATCCTAGACAAAGTCAGTATTGAAAAACTAGACGAGGTACATTCTAAGGTGCTCTCTCTTTTATAAAAATCCTGACACTGTGTCGTCAAACCGATCGCACAATAATGTACCACTATGTGGATGACGACCGAGTTCAGACCTAGAAAACACAAAGCAAACCTAGTGGTACCACTCCAGGCGGAATAGGAAAAAGCAACCAGACAACATTTTTGATATTTTCTGTTGGAAATATGCAACGGAAATGAATAAGCAGGTTTTATCACATCCATTGCAAAGATGCAATGGCATGAACACCACCCAGCATCATCACAGTATTTAAACTGAGTGGGAAATCTTCGTTCTTACTTTCATCGCCTTTTGGATGAAAATAACACACAAATAAATCTATAAACAGACAAGTAAGTTATCGTTAACAATCATTTTCGTGATTCAGAAAGACTAAGAGTTAAAGTTCTTCAAATTAAACAGTTTCCCGGATGTAAATTCATTTGAAATTGTGAAACATCACATTCATGATGTTGGTTTACCCATCGTCTCATGAGCTCCTTTCATACTAAAGGCTTAAAAGATAATTAGTAAGAACCTTAATGATCCCACATTAGACAAACAGGATTGTCACTGGCTTGCCGCCCGAAATGATTCATTATAGCACCAACCCCACTGAAGAGACCAGCTGTCAACACTGGTTTTCAAGTGCGGCACAAACAGAGTAATGTGGCCAAGACTAAGACTCTACGGAGCATTGTGACGGAAGAAAATTGTGACAACTTGCTTTCATCTTTCGCAGTCCTTTGGCATAATTATTTAAGTATGTGACTAGGCAGGACACCATGAGACTAGGGGCTGATAGACAGCACATGTATCACTAATGATAGAGCAGCAACCGACCTGGCTACCATACCTAGCGAAAGTGCTCATCGTGATTTGAATGAAAAAGCTGAAAAAAGTAGCGAGTTAAAAGCCAGACCACCAACAGCAACCGCCCTAAGTATCCGGTTTGCATTTCACTCAAAGGTTATGTTTGGAATGCGAATAGACAGTTTGAAGCAGTAGTTCGCATCAAACGATTAAAAATCTGGTAGTGACGGTAGCGGTGTTACCAGGACGTCTTGTTATGAATGTTGGGATCGTGAGGCGGTGGCTGTGCACTGAAAACAACAGTTTAGTCGCGTGACTCAGCCATACTTGTCAGTGACTCTAGATTTGGCCTCTGGGTCCTCATCAAGAGACAGCCACTGAGTTTATCGGACATCGTCGTGCCTCGTTGCTAGGTTACTACTTGACATGTTTAAACTCAGTCCAGTGTTGGCAATAAATGGCTTTTTAAAGCTCAGTCCAGTGTTGGCAATAAATGGCTTTCCAAGAAGTTGGAAAGATGACATTAAAAACAAATGAGCGAACCGGCACAATGTGCGACTCAAGTTCTTCCATCCCAAAACCATTCGACCTACAGCAGCACCGCTGATTTGTTCCCACTAGACTCGGACGATAGTTCGAAGGTCAGTAGTCAAATACAGGAGGCTCATTCACCCTTACTTCCCGCAGTGGGACAAACAGCAGCGTTATCAAGTCTGTCACTAACAAGAAAGTCGATGTGTCGGCTCCACATATTGGCCACGGAGCCTGAACTTCACTGAAGTGTGAAGGTGACCCACTGAGCTACCTTAGAAGTGGGCATTGTGACATTTGCAGAGTAACTCATTCCAGGTTTATCAGTGGGTAGACAATACATCAACACAATCTCCTGGCCGTCCAAATTGGGGGCTATATGTATCCTAAAACCATACTACTCTGGCAGCATCATACAAACCATTGATGCTCTGCGGTCAAACTCTTAAGCGAAATGTTTTGCTTGAAGATCCTAAACGTCCCCTACGCCGGTCCGCATACAACGAAGAACTGTACGGATACCAATACCGTCGCGCGGTGCCGTCACCTTCCGTTACATATACACCGGGGCGGGCTAGTGCTGATAACTCCTACATTTTGAAATTGTTTTAACCCCACTCCTATTCCACGCAAAAATAACTCTTCTGTACACTTCAGCCATAGGTCGAGGTTCAAGTGCGATATTTGATCTACTGCCTCCACGCCTCAGGCGATTTTGCATCTGCTGCAGGCATTGGTATCGCCCCTAACTTTGGCTGAGGTTTTTCCACTCGATTGGATCCCGTAAATAACCGCCCTTGCGCTGCTGGTTTGTAACTCCCATTCTAATCCGATGAGACACGTTTTATAAATAACTAACCACTATGCTATCGAGAACGATGTGTTCAGATATTATTCTAGCCGCCGGCTCAAGTAGAACGTCTCAGTTTATCCGAGGAGCGACTTGGTGGCCTTTTTATTCTGCAATCAAAATGTAATGGTTATCCTTTGTGGCATTCTACCGATCACCAGTTGTTTCGTAACAGTGTTGTGTTCGT